CAGACCTTGAGAAGATTTCAGGGGTCCTTTTTTTTGTTGGATCACAACTGATGACTTAGACGAAAATTGAGCAGGACCAATTTACCTGAGGTCACCTGTCTTGGATGGTTTGGAGGGCTTACTTCATGTGTTGTGAAGTGTCAGGCTCCAATTTGGTGAAACAAGCGCGCTTGGGATCAATCAAAACTCTGTGACGCAGAAATGTTGGGGTGAAGCCCTTGTTTCGGGTAGGCCCTCAATTTTGGACATGCCGTTTTTAGATTAACGTTAAAGTTCGGGCTCAGGGATGCGTGGAGGTCCCGAACGTCACGACCAGAGGACTAGATGACGATTGGATTGGACAAGAGGATTGGATATTACATACAATAAAACATTGGATTTATAAACCATTGGATTACCCTTTGGTTATTTAACATAGCCATGGAAAGACCCACCCATTTTTAAGAACGGTAAACCATCTATTTCTATGGGCCATTATTTTCCATGGCGAACTGTTAGTCATAACCAGATGGTAATAAGGTTTATCGATCAATGCCATTGGATATGACCATCGGATTGTGATAAACCCTGGCTGCCATACACATTTCTACCATGACTGGGGATGGCTGAAATCCCACAAAAATGTATGGTGAAATTGGGGATGGTGAAATTGGCGGTATACCACGTTACATGTTTGAATGGGGATTCTGTGTTTATGTCTGGGCTTCAACTAGATTATCTCAAATGTTTAAATTTCAAGTTTTCATCCATCGCCTTTTTTTGGACAGGGATATACCTTTACCATTCTTCCATTGGTTAATTGTTAATCCACCATGTAAAGGACTGGGAATCTGTTGTCTTACTTAATCTTAAGAAAACGCAAGTAAATCACGTTCCAGCATGGAAGATAATACGGCACGCACCCAAAAATCCCAAAGTCAAATAGGAATACCCATAATATTTGGATTTGTGTCTTGTTAGATACATTAAGTCTTCAAGAACATCAAATGATTTCAGACAATCATACATATGTATCGACAATCGAATTGCAGGAAAACACCATACGTGGGTATAAGTCACCATGCTTTCAACCGTAGATGTTCCCTTAAATCAATCCAGTGAAAGTCCAGTTGTTTTTACTTTACTAGATACTGGCAAATCCTCAGCAAACATTCCCATGATCGCCGGTTATTTCACCAGTTTTCCGCCAAATCCCTAGGCCCCCAGTTGTCCTATTTGTTTTTCACTTTTATTGTTGCCTCATTGCAGAGGCCCGGGAGCATGCTTTGAAGCATCTGAGAAGTCAGACATTGAGTCCGGAGGTCCAAAAAAAATCTCCCTCGGTACAACTGAGGGATGCAAAACTGGGGTAAAAGAAACGGGAAAATCATGAGATTCAAACCATTTCAATCCCCCAGAAGTTGGGTTAGAGGTTTTATATCCACTTGTACCCGAAAAGTTTATTTTTCAATGGTTTTCTGCAAGGGGTATTATCAGCCCAAGACTCTGATGGAACGCGATTGAGTGTGTTCGGGGCCAGTTGGACGTCGTCAACGGTGCTGTGTCTGGATGTGGACTTCGGGAACTTGTGCGTCAGCAACCTTTTTAAATGTAATTGTGCTGGGCTGGCTGCATTCACGTCATGGTGTACTTTATTAACCTAGTACGGTTTATTTACTATATATATATTTTTTTATAATCCAGGTTATAATAATTTATAATTATATACATACATTCAGAAATTTAGTAAAAATAAATAACATCTTAATATTTAAAATTATAATTTAAAATTATGAGATTAGGTAGCTTCAATGGGACTAACTTGAATTTTGCTTTACGAAATAAAGGAAATTATAATTTAGGAGAACGCGACACACATTTCGCCAAAAAAGAACCTATATTGGACATAAAACCATGCAAAGAAAAATACATATTTCTATATACCAATATTTTTTTCACCTGACCAAACATATTTTTAAAACAACGAATGGGACTTAGA